CGCCATCCAACGTGTGACAGAAGTTTGCCACGCGGAGATGGGGGGAGGCTGAGACGTCCCTCACCTTCTGCAGCGTGCTAATGTCGCTGGGCCATGTGGCATACCCTAAAATTGATCAGGCGGGGTTGGACTCTCTGGTTCTTGAACAACTGATGGTGTTGGCACGGGACATGAACGTCTTTTTGCCCGCCACAGAAGATGACGACAAAACATCTCTTAGGGTAGCGCGCTGTATCCAGGTGCACTGTAATTTGCGGCGGTGAGTTGTGGTCCAGGGTTGCGTTGAACTACCGTTGGGGTGTCGGTTGGCATTTATGTCGGCCCTGACTCGATTTAGTGCGGCGAATGTTACAGTTCAGGCCCTGGTGAGGGAGACTGTTTCAGTTCCCCTGGGAGCACATATGCCTGTGTGAAAGCAGCTCGACCGAGAAGTTACTGCGGGGCGGGTTCTCTTGACCCCCTCAAACAGGGCAGTTAAGGGTCTCATGCTGGTGGGAGCCCAGATGATCGTGAGGGGGGATCAGAAATGCAGGATTGCGTACCGCTGTTGTGCAGGCGGGTACGGTTTTGGCTTACGCGATGGCTGCATGTTGTGAAGAGACCAGCAAAGTAGCTGCTCATGTTGAGGTTTCAGTGGAGCGTAGAGCGGCGGCGGACGAGACGTGGATGGATGCGTTGTGCGCTGAGAACCCGGATTTGACAAATGAGCAGAAGGGCGAGTTACGCGCCTTGCTCCAGGAGTTCTCTGACGTTTTTATCAAAAGTAAATTTGATATGGGACGCACATCTTTGATGCATCATCATATTGATAAAGGTAATGCTGCTCCCATCCGACAAAATTCATTTCGGTTTAGCCCGAAGGAAAAGGACCATTTGCATCAGGCGGTCGACAAGATGTTGGCCACCGACATTATTTCTCCATCCACCAGTCCGTGGGGAGCACTAATCGTTCTGGTTAGGAAGAAGTATGGTAGGTTTTGCGTGGATTTTAGAAAATTGAACAAGGTCTCTGTGGCTGACGTTTATCCGCTCCCACGGGTGGACAATTCATTGGATCCATTTTCGTGTGCATGATTATTTTCCACCTTGGATTTGCTGTCAGGGTTTTGGCAGTTGCCCTTGGATGAAAACTTAAAGCCAAAAACAGCATTTTGCACCCCACAAGGGCTTTTTCAGTTTAACTGTTTATCGATGGGACTCCATTCGGCCCCAGTTACGTTTCAGCGACTGATAGAATTGGTATTATCGGGACTCCAGTGGGATTTTCAGAGCACGTTTCAAGAGCACTTACAGCAATTGCACTTGGTGTTTGATAAAATGCAGGCGGCAAATTTGAAATTTAAGCTGCAGAAGTGTCATGGTAAACCACCAAGTCGGTGGGTGACGTTCGCAGTTTTGTGGGGTTCGTGTCATATTATTGCCGCTTTGTGCCCAAGTTTGTGACAGTCGTGAAGCCGCTCCATGCCCTTACTGCTAAGGGTCAGAGATTTCAGTGGGGGGAGAAGGAGGAGGCCGCTTTTGTTGCGTTGCGAGATGGTCTCATGAATGCGCCTCCTCTTCGCTACCCCAATTTCTCTGTGACGTTTGTGCTGGACACAGATGCCAGTGACACTGGAATAGGCACTGTGTTATTGCAGGTAGAAAACGGGGTAGAAAGCGTGGTCATGTACGGGAGCAGGGTGCTGTCTCCCGCAGAGCAGCGTTTTTGTGTTACCCGTCGTGAGTTGCTAGCCATCATTAACTTCGTGCAGCAGCACCGGCCGTACCTATCCGGTAGACATTTTGTGGTACGTATGGATCACGCGGCTCTGCACTATGCACTATGAGTTGATCAACCATAGGGACAGCTCTCGCGCTGGTTAGAGGTTTTGCAGGATAACTCCTTCACAGTCACCTTACAGAAAGGGGTTGCGCCGCTGTAATTGCGGGCGCTTTGTCGTGGTTGCCGTCGAAAGACCAGTGTGCGTGTTTGACTGGGGCAGGGCGTTGTAAACCAGTAGGTGATAGGGTGCCTTGCGCAATGGTGGCATCTGTGGATGTTTCACCACTCGTAGCGACAGTCGCGCGTGACAGTACCATCGGTTTTGCGCTCAACGAGTGAGGACGCCTCCAGGTGGAGGACACTTCCCTTTTGAAGATGCGTTGCCACGTCAGTACAGCGAACTGCAGAAGGGGCCCAGGGGATATATCCCCGGTGGTCATCAGGGATAGGCTGTTTATGAGGTTGGATGTAGAAGTGCAGCGCCAATGCATCGTGGTGCCGACTGTCCTGCAGGGAAAAGTCATTAGGGCTGACCATGTGCGGCTAATGGACCTTGGTGTGCAGAACACATTGTCTTCTTTGAAGCGTGACTTCTTCTGGCCCGGGATGTCTGAAGACGTCCACAACATCCTGCAAAAAATGTGTGGAGTGTGCGCGTCGAAAACCCCCACCAAGGCTAGGCCGACCACTTCTGCAGTCTATTGGGGTGTCGCGCATAAACGAGCTTGTCGCTCTTGACATCCTCGGCCTGTTTCCCACCACGCCGAGAGGAAATACATTTCTGCTCATGGGAGTAGAATACCTGGCACGGTGGGCTGTTGCATGGCCCCGGCAGGATCAATCATGTTGCGTCCATTACCGACGCTTTTCATTAATGGGTATGTCTGGGACAAAGGGGCCCCGGAGCGTCTCCTTTCGGACGAAGGCCGTAATTTTTCTTCCAAGTTGTTCAAGGATGTGTGCGACCTATTGGGTACTAGACTGATGGGATGGTGGAATGACGGAATAGGACTCTCATGGCCATGTTGTGCCAGAAGGTGAACGAAGCACAGTCCGACTGGGATTTACACGTTCCGGGCGTCCTCGCGGCCTATAGAATTGCCCCTCATGCCTCTACCGGATTCTCCCCGTTCTTTTTGACTTACGGGAGAGAGTGTGACCCCCCCATGGAGGCCCAGTTGAATATTGACTCATTTACTAAAAAGACTGCTGTACCGGAACTTATACTCCTCACGCTTAAACGTTTGACTGATGCACGGGAGGCGTCCTGTCTTAATTCGGCTAAATGGCAAGTGTCCAACGAAAAACTGACGGGGCTCCGGGAGTCAGGGAAGCCGTGGAATGTCGGGGAAAGGGTTTGGCTGCATTGCCCTCAGGTGCCCTTGGACATGTCTTCTAAGCTACATAGACCGTGGCAGGGCCCGATCGAGGTGATAGAGGTCAAGAGGCCCCAATGTGTTCGGATCCAGGTCGGTCACAGACATCGGTACGTGCACCTGTCGCGACTGAAACCGTATTTTCCGCCTTGTCTAGATGTTTCATCCCAACTGTCCCGGAGGCCGGATGTCTGATGTACCTGACGAGCCTGGGCATGCAATTACTGAGGTTGTGCCTTAGCGAATTTATGTTCCTCCGCCCACAGGGATCCAGCACTTGACGACCGCGGAGCTGTCCGTCACGCCGTCGGAAAGCCATCCAACGGGGAGGGAGCGGCTGACATCCACTTCCCCGTTAGGCCAACTTCAAGTTGTCCCTGGGGCCCCCGGTAAACCTGCCCTTGTTCAGCCTGGGAGCCCGGCGACGAGAATCCGTTTAGAAACTGAGGTTTAAATGACCACCCTGGTCATCCTATTTATTCGGACACCTCCTGGCAAGAGGCCGCAGCCACGAGCCGGGCTGCATTTGTCGGTTGAACTGGGTCCTTCCTGGATTTGTGGGTGGCGGCGGGTCAGCAGCCATCGGGTATTGTACATAGTCCGGGTGTGGGTCATTACGGTGCGTCAAACATGTATTTGTGTGTTGTTGGTTCTTGTTGTTGCCTTGCGAGGGGAAGGGGCTTCCTATTGTTGTTGCTATTCATTGCGAGGAGGTCTTTCAAATTGTTATGTCGCTGTTGATTGCAGGAAGTCTTCCAGTTGTTGTGGTTACCATTGACTCACGAGAGGGGCTGACGTTTTTTGTTGGTCCAGTTGACTTGCGAGCTAGGGGCTTCCACTTTTTTTTGTGTTGTGTTCCGGTGGTCCGTCCTGCTGTGCAAGATATAGCGATCAGCCGGGACGGCTGAGTTTGATAAGGGGGGGAGTGATGTAGTGATGTTAAATGGATCACTATGGCACGTAGCGCCAAGTGCCGTAGAAATGGGCGCTGAGGCTAACACACTGTACAGTACCATACAGTCGGTCACTAGGGGCATGATACTGGGTGCTGGCAGAAGAGAACCAGATTAGTCCTACCGACAGAGTAGGGGATAGCAGCCTCCGCCAGCGCCGCAAGTAATTGCCACAGAGTGGTGGGGGCAGCTGGCAGATGGGGGGGCATATGAGGATGAGTCACCCCGGCACCGGGTTAAGAACGTGATGGGCCGGGGTGAGGAATGTGGGCAAAAGGTGAACGAGGGGACACGGGAAGAGTAGCTGAGAAACTTCTGGATAGTTCATGAGGGGGGCATGGTTAAGGGTGGAGCAAGAGAGGGAACAGGTGTAAGGTGGTCTGGAACCTTCGGGAATATTCCAGAGGTAGGCGCGGCCGGGGGTGGAGCTAGGCCGTACCAAGAGGGATAAAAGGGAAGCTCCGATCGAATATCAGGGCTGTCTGAAGGTGAAGTAGAACTCAAGTGCTACGTCTTCAACGTCGTGGTTCAGACAGCATGTTGACTGCTCTGACCCAATTATAGTTATCCTGTATGTGTGAGAGATAGGTGTATTGTAGTCCCGGGTGTAACGAGAGTGAGAAATATGTGAATTAGTCCCGTGTGTAATGGTGTTGCCTAAGTGTAAAATAAACGTTGTTGCCTCCTAAATAGTGTCTCTGAAATGACTCACTTCAGCAGTAGTAGGGTTTTCAAATGGTCGTGGCTGTATAATGAGATTTGGTTCACATATATAATTAATGTACAGCATTCTGGGATGCTATTAGCATGAATGACTCGATATTAAATGAAAGTATTAGCACAAAGGCATGCTAAACAGGATCTCAAACTGAGGTTGCATTGAATGTTTTTTTGTTATTTTGTTTTTACCTGAAATCAAAGAAGTCGAGAGGAGTCATGGTTTCCATCACGGAGAACTGGTCGACGAGCAGGTGGAAGATGAGGGTGATGCGATGCATGCGTGACACCACCTTCAGCATATTCCGCTCGTTCTTTATCTGCGAGACACAGGGACATTCAAGGGAGATATACGCATCCACCACGCAACACACACATGCACAACAACAACAGCAAAGATTTCTCAACTAGTCCTTCAACTGTAGGAACAAGAGCTATAAGCAGTGCTTCGTTTCATCCAAAACTATCCAGAATGATGTTCTGGGTATTATTTTGTCAGGTCACATCCATTTCGCATCATTTAGTCCTCATTGTGCCCTATACTCCTATATGCCTATTTATGGGATTATAGGAATATAGTGTACAATAATAGTGGATTATTATGGATTAGTTTACCTTGTGCTCTAGCATTAGTGCCTTACAACGATAATTCCCTACACCAAGCCAGCGTCGCAGTATCACAGAAAATATTGGCAATTAGTGAGCATGTATTAGGGGTCCAGACAGTACATGAGGGGGTTAACGTGGACAGCATTCGGCTCAGTCATCCCAGTAGTGATGTTCACACACTTGTATCTCATAGTCACGCAAGTCCCTTTTGGAACCCTTGCAATTAACCTTCAACAATATGTGTTCAACCCCCAATGAAGCTTGGAGAGCTGAATAGAGTTCAGGACCTTGTGACTGGCCCAACGCAGAAGATTCCTGGGTTTGAATTTCCACAAAGTTCATGGGCCACACTAAACTGCATCTGTAAAAACCATGGCAGTAGATGTGGATACCTGGCGCACAAATGGATCATGCCATGGGTAGGCATGAGGTAGCTGTTGCCCCACAGGATTCATAACAACGACCGGCTCACTCGGTGCATTTATATTATTTTAGTTTGCGGTTCTGGTTGGGTACATTCTCCATCTCCCTCCCTCCCTCCCATCCCTTCCCTCATCTTCCCCTCCCATAAAAATACCACGCTCCCCACCGTTGCCCCTACTACGTGAGTGGAGCAGTGTGCCCATCCACCTTCCCTCTCCCAATCTCTGTGGGCACCTGGCCTCCGGCTTGTTGTCCACGAAATATCTGTACCCCCCAACATCGCTCGTGCTTTGTACAACGAAGGTATTGCAGTGATTCTCCTGGCGCGGTTGATCTGACTTGACCACCTGAATGTGAAATTGTAGATGTTGCTCTGCATCTGCATCAGCAACCTTATGAAGGAAGAAGACATCATGTCAATGTATAGATTAATGCCAATGTCTAGATTTGTTAAGCAAGCAGTCGTCCATAAGAGGCCCACAATCAGGTTCTGGTGATTCTGTCCACAGGAATCTAACACAGGTCACTGGGGTTCTAAATCATTTTGCTAACAACTGCATAGCTACACCCAACAAAGACAAAGACAAAGATCCCCCATATCGCCTGAGCATACTGTTGGGATCAAGTTCTGTTAGCGAACACCTATAAAGGCCGGTATTGTGGCACACGAGGGGATGGGTAGCCAACACCACGCCCGGCTGCCTTTGTCTCCCCAGTGGCGATGTTTACACACTGCACCAGGTACTCATTTAAGGCTGAGTCGATCTAGGGGAGGCCCAAGACCGGTTCAGATATTCATCACTGGTGTTGGCTGTAAGCGGGAATCGAACTCAGGCCACCGGGTTCGCGGGGTTCATAGCGCAGCACGCTAACCGGTACACTACTGTTCCCTACATAGCTACACCCAGCACACATATGTACATGCATATGCACACAAACACACGACTATGAAAACTCGAATAAAATACCTTACAGACAATTAAAATGAGATTCGTAGTTTATTTCTCAAATATGTTTGCCCTACCCAGTTCTCAGAGCTAAACATATATATTAATGTTGATGACTGACGTGCAGTGAATAACTTTGCACACGGTATGAGAGATTACTGTCCGCTGCTGGGTGTCTCCATCCCTTCCAATGTGTCATCCTCCAGGACCTGACATTCTGTCCACTCGAGAACAATTCATTTACTAATAACGTGGGCTATAATTGCTGGTAATATACATTTCCTCGCTGCAGTATTTTATTTACACTGCAATTAGTGAAACTAATTTATTGCAAAGAAACACTTTGGGCTGAGCGGGCCATGTTTTGCAATGTCCCATCATGTACAGTACTGTACTGCAATCTGGAATCGAAATTTACTTGTTTTCTCTGACTGCTTAAACATAGAATCTGTCAGTCCTCTAGTTTCAAGATGGCAAGTTCATCTTAGGGCACTGCACCTCTTTGTTGTCACTTGCATGACAACTAACGTACTACATTAACTGGTTATTTTTCATGATTGACTATTGCTTATGTTTCTGAGCAATGACTGGGTTTCACTCTACTTGTATTGAAAATTGTTCGATGAATTTGACTGATATAACTGCTCCTATCATCTGAGGTGTGTACATTTCTGAGTAACCTCAATCGTTTAAAATGCACAAAAAACAGACAAACAGCAACCATTGAAATCCACCTGAGCAATCATGGGAATTACATTGACAAGGGTAAAGCAGTTAAACATGTTGTTGTTGCATTCGCAATTGTGACTAAACTATCACACTAATCCATTTTATTTTTATTTTACCAGTTAAGGCCCAATGAGCTAATAGCTCAATTAAGTGGCTTATTGTGCAGAAAAATATTGCAACTAAATACTCTGAATGCATATTTCTAAATTTGGAGAGAAAAACCGTAGAACCCAGAGACAAATTCACGCCATCACAGAGAGAACATACAAACTCAAAATATACAGACGTCAGGGTCGGAATCGAAACAACGACGTCCTGTATACCTGGCGAGGTAATTAACATCTTGCCACCGCGGCACTGCTGAACTGACCTCAAAAGAGGCAAGAGCTCTTCTCTTCAGAAGTCTGTGCCAGGGTAGTTCTCACACCATACGATTAATCCAACCAAGGGAACTGGACATTTGCTCGGTAAGCTGGACCTGGAGTTGGGGAACCTCACACTCAATGCTTAAAAACGTTGGCAGCTGATTTAAGTCGGATGGATTATTTGGCATCGCGACTAGAAGACTGGCTTTCAAGGCTAATGCCGAGTGGCACGCTCAGCCAATAATACCAATAGCAATACCTGCATTCGCCAACAAGCGACAGTGACGTAACCACGGCGCCTGTGCCAGGCCATGTGCACTTTGGTGGGGAGCGGTGATACAATGGGTGGTTAGCACGTTGTGCTACGAACCCGGCCTCCCGGGTTTGATTCCAGCTCACGGCCAACACCAGTGACGACAATCTCTACTGCACCTGGGCCTCCGCTAGGTCAACTCATCCTCAAATGAGTACCTGTTGTGATGTGTAAACATTGCCACCAGGGAGACAAAGGCGGTCGCACATTGTGCTGGGTCCCCACCCCTGTATGTACCGTGCCGGCCTTCATAAGTTCTTATTAATAGCACTTGCCCCGAAGAGTATCTTAAAGCTATATGGGGAATCTTTGTCTTTTCGAATATAATTAGTTGATGCCCACATGCGGTCAAGCTTCGGCAATTGTTGGCGCCAGTTCTAATTGCCTTCCAACGTTTGTGCGTGATTTCTCACCCCCATTAATCTAAGGGCTCCCTATTGGTCAACCATGTTATGTATGCTTATGATCTGGTAATTGCTGCTCACTCTGAAAACAAGTTGGAGGTGCTACTGCTGAACGTGGAGCATGCCACTGAGAGATGGGGCCTTACCAGCCTCCTAAAAAACAAAGCACCTAACTTGGTAGTTTGTCATCAACGACTTTCCCCCTTCCATTAGCCATGAGTGATGGGGATGTTGTGGAGAGTGGAGAAGTTTCCATAACTGGTCAGTGTGCTTAAGATCAGCTCCGGTTTGTCAGTCGAGGTCTTACTCCGAATCAGCTGAGTGGAATTATATTTTCATCAGCTGGATACATCTGTGTGGAAGCTACCTGGACTATTGCTCCATACACCGATCCGGATCTTCTCGGCCACATTTATGCCATCCCTTCTCTACTCTTGTGAAACGTGGATCCATCCTAGGTTTAACAAGACTAAATTGAGTAAGGAGCTCACATATCCTTGAAAGATATGGACACAGTTACATCAGTGAGATCCTCCAGCAAGCGAAACTGTGTTGGCTGGGTCATCTAGTCCGCATGCCCAAGCAGCTTCTGTTTGGATGGACAGAGGGGGATAAATATACATGGCACAGGCTAGAGAAAAGATTCACTGATGTGGTACAGATGGACATAGTGCTGATTTAACTTGATGATGACGAGTACCAGCAGTGTCAATATTGGCCTCTATGGAGGAGGTTCATGAAGCAAGCTACTGAGCAGTTGGAGGCAGTCACCCTTCAACATCAATTCAGGGCAGAGGAGTGATGATCACAACAATGAGCGGAGCACCAGGCAGCTAAAGCGCAGCAGGTGGTTGTTGATGTTAGAGTTAATCTGTAAGAGCAGGTAACGAGCGTGACATCACTCAACATGCCGCACCCCCACCCCCGTCATTAATATTCATGAGGGGGTGGATTTTTACACTCACGCAGAAGAAGGTCGAGCGGAAAGACATTTTTTTTCGCATATTCGCTTTAAGTTTGACGGGTTTTTTATTTATTTAATGTGAATCTAATAAATAATTATAAGCAGCAACAAAGTGGATTTTGTGTCTTTATTGATTTCTTCAGCACTTGAGACAGAAGGTGAGTCTAATTTATGCTTCTACATGATAGTAAAATAGACATTTCTCGGTGATTTTCTAGATATTGTATCGAATTCCAATTTATTTCAACCCCAGCAACCGAAAGCAGAAGAGAATAAAGTATCAGAGCAGTGAATTTGAACGAATTGAAGGTCAGTTATATACAGTGCTACAGTGACATGAAGTGAAGTGTTTTATGCAAGAATCAATACCATTTATACAGTTCTACAGTGAACTGCAGTGAAGTGTTTTATGACTGCGTTCTGTGCCAGATTCCCTGCCATTAATACAGTGCTACATTTAAATGCAGTGAGGTGTTTGATGACATACTTTTGTGTAAGATTCACTGCCATTAAATTTACACAATTATTTCGTAAATATTACAGCTTCCATCCTAGGACGGGCAAAC